ATTTAAGTAGGAAGGAGGAAAAAAAATGATCCTAACCGTGAGGTCTCATCCATGGGAACATGAGACTGGGAGAAGAATTTTGATTTAAATGCCCTTGTCCCTCGCTAGAGTTACTGTTGGAAGAGGATTTACAGTCAGGATATTGTACCACGGTTGCCTCTTGCTGGGCACCATAAAGCGACTGCCTGGGTAGGGCTTCGTATCCATAGAATTTAGAAGCGTCTCCGTGGCACGCCAGGGCGCAGGGGTTTTGCTGGTATCCCGAGTTGGAGATGCTGGAGGTTCCGTGGTGGAAGAACTCCTGGACGTGGTGTGAAGGGTGCTGGAAGCTGGGCGCCGTGGTGCCGGGTCCGTACACGAGAGCATGGCTCCTGCTTACACTTTGTGGAAATCTGCAGTCGTAGTAAGTTGGTTCCAGGGACTCGCCGCCTTTGTACTTGGAGAAAAGAGGATTTACAAAGTAGGAACTCATGGCTTTCGCATGAAAGAAAGGAAGAAGCCAACCTTTAAAAAAAAAAGTCTTTAATTCTGTCAGAGATCACTGCTAAGGACTCTCCCTCGCCCCTCTCCCTGGACTCTGCACAAAGTCCTGGTTAGTGCCTGGTTGTGGATATATATTTTTTTAATACGCTCTCTCTCTCTCTCTCTCTCTCTCTCTCTCTCTCAGAGACGTTTCATAGTGCCTGAGTGGATATGGTTGCTTATGCCTAATGCTCTTGACTTCTCTTATATCCGTCGATAGGTAGAGCTCTCTCTCAGTTTCTCGTACTTGTTCCCTTCCCTTTAACACCACAGGCAAATTCCTCAAAATCCCGGTGGTGAGTCTCTCTCTCTCTCTCTCTCCCTCACTCTCTCTCTTTCTCTCCCTCTCTCACTCACTCACTCTCTTTCTACAAATGTGTTAACTATATTAACGTGTGCGGGCGCGCGGGCGCGATCTGGGTTCATCAATTCAGCACTCCCAAGACAGGCTAGGAAGAAAATGACAAGGAGATCGTGGGGCTGGTGGGGGTGACGGGAAGGTGAACACGCCAGCCCTTCAGGAAGAGGAAAAGGGAAACAAAAACATATAGACCCGCTTATCTAACGAGTGAAACAGGGTTATGAAAGGTGCGCAGCAATACCCTGAGGTGCTTTTCTGGAGGCTCCCCACCCTTCCCGATGCAAGGGAGCCTCTTCACTTATCTGAGCAAATACATACGCCAGTGAGGTCAATTTAGGTTACTTCAACAGGTAAGAGGTATAAAATTGACAACCTGGATCGATTTTTTAAAGGAGGGAGTAACCAAGAGATATGGTTAGTAGGCCTGTATGCTGATAACAAAAACGGGAGCCCCCTCTCTCAACCCCCCCTTCCAGCAATGGAATTGTCTCTACTTATGTGACTGTCATTCATAAGAGGTACAGTATCAGGATTAGAAGATGAGTGGAACCGCCCCCAACCCCGGAAATACCACAATCACAAAGATCTAAGAAAATAACACCCCCACCCCTTCTGCTCCTTTTTGGATTTTTTTTGTGAATATATGCGCATATCTACCTTTAAAAATAAAGATGGTGGGAGCATTGGTCTGTTTTCTTGCTGGTATCCCGAGTTGCTGGGGTCATTTCAAGGAAAGAAATAAGCTGTACCTACAGAAGCCTAGAGGGGAAGGTGTTGATGTTGGGTCTCCAGGATGTTGAGTATTTGTGTGGAGAGTTACAGTGCAGGATCATTCCCTCCCCCCACCCTCACAAGTACTTATCACTAAATGCTGGGAAATTGTCCAGAGATCATCTGTGTGGAGTAGGTAGGTATGCATCCATTGCCAAGACCTCTCAAGGCAACCATTTCTCGCCACCCTGGACTTCCTTCATTCCAAAAATGACCATTTGCTGAAAGCTTTCAGCTGGGAACCTTCATTTTTTTAATGAGTGTATTAAAGACATCAGGCCATTAAACAGAAGCATAAAACCAGTAACCTTCCCTGTCTGGAAAGCCTGCAGATGAATATTTCCTGGGCTCTATATAAGTTCCTTGCTATTGTTGTTTTTAGTCCTGTTTAAAAATGACAAGAATAAAATACATTTTTGCAAATTAACTGTCCTCAAGGTCCTTTTATAAACACAGTAGCAGTCTTCCTCTTCCTGCTCCTCCTCCTTTGAAATCTTTCTTTTTCTTTTCCCTTCTCTCTTTCTCATCCCCCCCACAAATGTGTTAACTATATTAATTTTCTCCCTGTGTTTGTGTGTTTGTGTGTGTGTGTGTGTATGTGTGTGTGCGTGTGTGTGTGTGAGAGAGAGAGAGACAGACAGACAGACAGACAGAAGGCCAAGGAAATCCCAGCTGTTTTGAAGTGTGCAAAATAGTAAAACACTCTTCAGGACAAATCTATGAACACATTTACACTCTTACACTTTGTCTTCTTTTTGTTCACAAAATAGCTTTAATTCTTACACTCATTGTGGCTAATTTTAAGAGCAGCAGCAATAATAATAATAATAAAGTCTGTCAGTAGGTTGTAATTTTTTTTCAGCAAAAGATTTATCAAGGGCTTACCAAATAATGCTTACCAAATGAAATAATTAGTTGGTTTCAATCATTCCAAAATGTACAGGGAGTCAGTGTAGGGAGGGTGATTCTTGCTATTCTCACAGAGGCCAGTTCCTGTTTCATGTTTCTTTCTACCTCTATTGTATATCCCAATTGCAAATAAAATATTACACTTGTGGCAGAACGCGCACAGACATACACAGTCTTGGCAAGATATCCTTACTATTTGGCAAATATTCAGTAGACAGACAGATGGATAGATACATAGATAGATAAGCTTGCTCTATGTGTATACATGTCCATTATCATATACATATATACATATGATTACTTGCCAAATGTCAAATGAGAAAACACTGTAGCCATGGCGTAGTACTTTCTAAACAACACATGTAGCAACTAAATGAGCTAGATCTGGCTTATTTGGGAGTTTGGACTTTCAGAGTCAATGAAACCATTTCTGAGAGGCCAAGTAGTCAATATGGTTTTCCAGTTTTAACATTCCAATAGCTGAATCTTCTCAGTTTTTGCCACACATTCTGTGTCAGGCTATGTAAATGCAGATTGTACAAAACATGTTCTTGAATATAATTAAAGAAGTTTTGCTATCATAGAAGGTTGAGGAAATGTGGGTTTCCAGCATTCATTTATCCCAGTCTTTATTTTACTGCATTACCTTTGTGTCAGAAAAAAAGGTGTAAAGGAAAATAACAGACGCATAAAGAAGGTGTTTGTGTTATTATGACACATAACTGTGTGGTAGAAAATGGAGTGGGAAAGCTGCTAATCTTAGTTAATACAATTCATGCAGATGCCGTTCTTATGTGAAGGGAAGCCATCAGGGTTTTTAAAAGGTTATAAACAATGCCACTTATTTGTTTCTTGTAAATATAAATATGTACGTATATGAAAAAACATGAAGTAGAATAATTTATGTCTACTTTTATATAACCTGTTTTATTGTGTGTTATTATTGTGTGTTGCAACCTTATGAGTTTTTGTTTCAAAATGTACTTCTTGTGTCCAGTTCATATAAATTGTGCTACTAAAATATTTGTTTTTATTTGTTTCAAAGATGTATGTCTTCTTTAAGGTTTAATAAAGAGAAAATGTAAAGCAGATTTTCTGACAAAGGATCTATATATTTTACTAGCCGCCAATGGATCTTTCTCATTACATACCAAGTATTTCTTCTATAATTAGGGAAAGGCAGGCAATTTTAATTTCCACATATTTTTACCTTTAAAAGATTCGGTTAAACAAGCAGTCGCTGCTTTCCTTGTGACCCAGTCCAGATTTGACGTTATTGTGTAAGTCACAGTTGATAACTCGCAGGTTACATACACTTTATTTCTTGAGATCAGCTTTCCTTCCTATCTGCTAGACAGGCCTCAAGGTGTTAACCACAGGCTTTGTAAGGAAATAGGCTAGTCGCTCCTAAGATTGAGCAACAGCGCCATCTTGCGCCAACTCTCCCCAAGGTACGCCACTTCAAAATAAAACCTTTCGGTCAAAATATGGAGAAAAGATGTCCCCATCATCAATCATCTTTTGTACCTCTTTCACCTTACATGCCTCCCTTTAAAGCTAAAAGGAAAGGGGAAAAAATTTAAAAAAAGATTTTTGCCAAAAGAAAAATTGAAGGAGAAGCGAATAGGGTCATGTTGAGAGTGCTGGTGGAATCATTCATTAGTCAAGCTGAGGAGATTCTGAACCGCTTATTAAGCGACTAACAAGCAGCATTAGATGTATGCATGCATATATGTGTGTGTTTACGTGTGTACAAACGAAGCATGTGCTGGTGGGCGCACAACCTTCTCCCTGCTTTTCGCCACATATCCTCAGAAACCACCCATCATCACAACAATAACAGGAGGGCGCGCGAACACGGGCGTGCACAGAGAACCCAGGGATACTGGAGGGAAATGCAGCCGTGCCTGATCTATCTCCTGCCCATCTACCCACTCTCTTAGGGCTCAAGGCGCAAGGATGTAAAAGAATTCCGTCCCCTCCCGCTCCTTCCCTTCTGCCAGGAGGCCAGCAATGTTTGCAGGGAGGGAGAAAGAGAGAGAGAGTGTGTGTGTGTGTGTGGGGGGTGTCTGTTGTTTGTGGCCGGTAGACAAAACATTTCAATAAGCCGGTTTCAAAGAGAAGAGCACCCACCTTATTTAAACCATAAAACAATTAAGGCCAGACGTCTAGCCGGTTCTGTGGTCCTGTTTTGTTCCATCCTATTCAGTACACCCAGCAGTGAGACAAACAGAGTTGTAAAACTGGCATCTTTTGGGCTGCGGAAATGTACCTATGGGTTGCTTTAAAAGCTGCTGTATCCTGTCTTTTTTTGTGTCGACTACAAAAGGGTCGTTTTTTTCAGCTAGAGACCCTTTTTTCTCTCTTAAACACAGCCCACTCTCCACGGTATAGATATATGCTATATCGCATATATATAAAACAGCAAAGAAACTAGGATGGCCATTCAAGACATCCCTTTCTTTTCTTTTCTTTTGATTTTTAATCATGAAGGTTTGGCAGAGAGAGAGAAATAACGGCAGAAAAAGAGACAATATGATGGGGAAGGTTCCCACCCCACCTGTCCTGTTTTAAAAAATAATGTACGGGCCAAACCTAGCGGGTGTGAGTCTTCACAAGGTTGAGGCGAGTTTGTAATTCACAAAAAACAAAGCAAAGCAAAAAAAAAAAAAAAACACCCGAAAAACATTTCCAAGATTTGAACGTCTCCTCCCTACGCGCTGTTCTCCTAGGTTTCCATCCTATGCCCATGGACTGGAGAGCAAGTTCTCTAGCCTAGAAGCGGAGGCTTACTCCAGAGTAAACGTAAGGACGAGCGCAATATTCCAGCACAGGCTGCATTTTAGGCAGAAGACTTGCACATGAACTGTCACTATATTCTTACATAAAACAAAGCAAGTCAGAAAGAAGAGAAAAAAGAGGGAGAGGGGAGGGGAGTGGAGGAGAGAGAACAACAGTCTTATCGAGACAAAGGAAGCATAACTTACATTCTTTTCGTCCCTATCAGCTCCAATGGGAGTTCAGCCCTACTAAAGACAGGCGAGGATGGGGTTGTGAAGGGGGGGGGGGAGAGAAAGGTGAAAGAGGCTGCATCTTGAAAATGAGGTCTATTGGGAGGGCGGGTGGGGGGGGTGTTCTACAAGCATGGTGAAGGATCAAAGTTAATAAAATGACTTCACGGAGGGCCGCAAGTGTATGGCGGAGGTGGTGAAAGAAAGAAAGAAAGAAAGAAAGAAAGAAAGAAAGAAAGAAAGAAAGAAAGAAAGAAAGAAAGAAAGAAAGAAAGAAAGAAAGAAAGAAAGAAAGAAAGAAAGAAAGATGTTTTAATTTTCACTCATACACAAGAGTACTTTAAAAAAAACAAGAGAAAAATCTCACTATCAATTCCGTAAAGGTGAAAAATAACGCATAAGCTATTAGACGGTTGGACTTTAATACCACCTTTGCCCTTTCTGCACGTGTTCCTCGAGGGCAGGAAGGAAAGAGCGGAAGACAAAGGTTTTCTTGAGGCGGATTGCGATTTTTCTCCACCCATTTCACTTCTCTCCCCCTCCCCC